TCATTAATGATTATCTCAATTTCGGCTAAAAGAATTGACAAAATCCTACACACTGTGCCTTTACGCTTAGATTTAAGGTTGTTGCAGCGTTTGGTTAACAAATGTAAACACTAATGTGAGGTTTTCCAACTGAAGTTGGCTCATGATTGGCATATGTTGACTTTTTGAATATCTGGTGTCTGGACTCTAAGTTGGACATGTCAGTTTACTCAAACCTAATATGAAATGTTATAATAATATTGATAAATACAAATACAAATCTTTTATGCAGGTCCACAAATCTAATTTTTTGCAGGTGAATTTTTTTCACAGTTACACAAATCATATTTTTACAAGTTATAAATCAAAAATTTTCAGGTGGGTTTCGACACATGTCTATCTTGATATGGGTCTGACTCTGACTCCAACATGTCAGGCTAGATGGACAAGTTATGTTTAAGATAGGTCTAAAATATTGTGAAATGTTGGGAAAACATCCTTCACATGTGATAAACCTTCTCACATCATTTGCATCTTCTAAACCACACTATAAAGCATCTCTGCTGGAAGATGTTGCTTTTAGCTTTAGAACAGTTGTGTGTTATTAGAAATGTAACTTGTCAGTTTACAGAAAGCTGCTGTGCTGATTTGATTTCCCACTTAAATCCTCAACAAATTGTTGTGAACACTACAAGATGCAGGTTGTATCGGTTGGTACTGTATCTCGATTTGTGTTTTGGGATTGTTTACAAGGATTGTATATTTCGGGGTAACGTCTTTTGCTTCATGACAAACAAAAATTAAAAGCTGGTTTGTGGTATTCACAATAAAGTGCTGGTGCTTAAAAATAGTTCCACAGCTCCTCTTAACCGGAGGTCAGTCTTTGAATCTTGTGACACAGTAATCCAATTTACTAGTTAGCCACATACCAATGAATGCCTGCATTCAGGTTAGTTTATCCATCTATCTGTGACTCATACAACACACACAAAGCAACAGCTTGAAAGAAAAATACTTCATATTTTGAGAAGTTGTGAGGTCCTTGATTTCCTCTGAATGGACCTCTTTGCTTCATCCAACTTAACAGTTTCTCCATTTAATAAAATGTGTATCGTAAACTAGGGCTGCACAATATTGGGGGGTGAAATGACATTGGGATTTTTTCTAACCCTTCGATAAATTGCAAAATGATACAGGACTTTTCGTCAGATGGCTTGAATAGCACTTTTCCGTTCTGCTGCCATCTTGTTGACGATAAACCTACTGAGTAGCTTTTCATTGAATATTCATGGCTATCTTCCATGCAGGTTTCAAAGTACAGCTATAGCACTASAACAAAAACTAAACAAAGAAAGGTATAATGGTACGTTCACGCCGAACGACTTTTGAGTTGCAGGAGCAGCCAGTTWACATGCAAAGTCTATGGTGGACGYGCGGCTAGGGGTCTTGCGGCGCGTCGGGTCCATTTAGCRTGGCGCGCAAGGAATGCGGAAGGTGTGGMAGAGCATTTTCCGTGCACGCGGTGCARCGAAAGCAGCCAACGCCCGAGTTCAAAAACCYGATCTTTCGCYGCTYGAYGCGTCTTGGCAACCAGAGACTCATTTTTCCACGTGACAGTTTCCTGAGTGTTGCACACAAACAGACGGACAGTAGCTCTTTAGCTGAAATCGACCGTCTTTAGTTGATGTTCTGGCTGGTGATATCAGCACCGATGTGGGTCAGCAGCTCGTTAAGCTGACCGCGGTGTTAAACTGGGCTCGGGACAAAAAACTAGTCCGTCAGCTCGCAGCTCCTGGAGTGGCGAAACTAACCGAACAAACCGCCTCTAAACCATCTGGTGAATTAATTTTCTGCTGTGCGCAACGTTCGCTTGCTCTTTAGTAAATAAAGCAAAKCCRTTTTCTTTATTCTATCTTTATTTCATCCGCCKAAGACAGACCGCAAAAAAAACCAAGACGATCCTCCCTCTTCAGAGCGCGTCTAGTCTCTGTCCCGGTCTGAATGTAGCACCTCACACTGGAGGCGTTGGGCACATTTTTGCTGCTCAAAATGCATTCGGTGTGAATGTAGCATAAGACATGTTCAACACACCCGCAACAATTTTGAGACGAAAATAAATCGAGCGCCTTTTTGTTTAAAATTTAAGCAACAAGTCTTCTACTTTCTGCCACTTATGCAAGGAAACAGAGACCACCCTACCCTCRCAAACCTTGGTAGTTTCACAGATCCTCTCACAAATGCTGTTCAACRTCTTCTCTCCAACAGTCACAGCCCAGTGAAATACCGGTTTTGCTTCTAAATCATTAGCAAGACAGCAAGAGCATCGGATTAACGGTATTTCTTCATCAACTGAAAGAATTGTACWCACCCCACCCATGTATGAGCATGAGTCAAAGGACAATAGGGGTCAATGAGTACAGTAACGCTGTACAGTGTCTCTCTCTTTGAGTGATGAGGGTTGAGGTCAGCTGTCAACTTTTACAAGCTTCATGCCATGGAAAATAAGTTGTTCCAGTCTTCTGACCAAAACACTAATGAGAAGCACTCACAGGAGGAAAGGAGGAACGGAGGGGGTGAAGGTCGTGGTGKCGGTGTTGGTGGTAATGTGTGGTGGTGGTGTTATCTGTGATGGATAACAGAGGAAGGAAGAGAGACGACTGCCTCTCTGTATCCTCACCCTGCCATGACCTGAAATGCCTTTGGAGGAGAGCTGTGAACACATGCCTAATCCTCTGCATTCCTCTTGGAAGAAAAAAAAAACGAAGCGAAGCCACAAAATCAAGACAGACATAAAGATACACAAAAAAAAAAAACACCTGAGGGCGAGCATAAGGAAGCTGTGTTAGAGGCCGCATCTGATGAATTAATGAGGTACAGGAAGCGGCACACATTTAATGCAGTCTATGTTGGCTGTACTTGTGGATGATAGAGAAACTAACATGTTTAGACTGATTTAGATTGGATTTTAGACTGCAGGTTACACACGCTATACAGCTCAAGCTTATATCTCGAATTCTGAGCAAAGGAAACTGGTTGTAAATAAATCAGTTTGAGGTGTTCATGCATTATTGTGCGTTACTGTGTCATAGATCACTTTGCAGAGACACGAGGGGAGACTGTTCTCTGATACRATTATTTCAATAGTTTATTTTAGTTCAGCTATCCAAACATGGTTGATCAGCYGACTTGTTTAAATGCAGGTTAACATTCATGAGGTGCTTTGCGTTGACCGTTTATGGTTGAGTGTGGGCGTGTRGAGGGTAGAACCAGAGGCAGGACCTTGTGCACAAACTCTGAGGTGCAGCTGTGATCTATAAAGGAAAAYTGCTTGAAGGTGTGCGTGTGCACGGTTTTATAAATAAGAATTTTTTTATTTTTTTGGTGTACGCCATTTTTGCTTTTTGGCCATAAGTTCACTTTTWGTATGAATTCTACACAGTCCTTAATAAATGAGGTCATTGATAGGAACCTTGTCAGGTGGTATTTGAATGTTTTTGAGTCAGAGTAACCCGGTTGTTTTAAATTGAATCTTAATCTATTTATTCACATTGACAGAGTATCATAAATGTCAAACTTTCTATTCTTGTTTTTGCAGGCGAATCTACATATCTAGATGACCACGGACACCCTGTTCCTAGAGTAAGTGTTTGTCTATCTTGTGCTTTTTTATTTTTTCTTTAGTCCCGTTATTTTTTTTCCCAGGCTCTCTGTCTTTGATGTGCTGCTCTTCAGTTGGAGCCAGTTAACTCCAGAAAGGTTATGGGTTAGGTTTGTGTGAAGGATGCAAATTCTCTCTAAATGCAAGCCTCAGTGCTACAGTACTGCTTTGAACTTACTCACAGACACACACAGACACACACACACACACACACACACACACACACACAGACACACAGGTTTGATTTTATATTCCCGT